AGTTCACGCATGCATCGTAGTGCCTGTGCAATGCTCCAGCTGCTCGCAGAGGATCACGCAGGCGCTGTATGCATCCTGCACATGCGTGGAAGCGCAGAACTCGTCAAAACCGGGTAAGGACTGCGGGCGGGTGGGCAGGCCGTTCGCCGTTCCCGGAAGTTACTTACTTCTGGGTTCGCCGACCAACCGGTTCGCAGGGACCGCCGCGAACTGGTTGAAACCCACCCCTGGTAGATGTGATCAGCTAAAGATAGTCCATCATATAACCATTAAAATATTTTTATACTTTTCAGATGGGAGTGTCCAAAGAGATAAAATTATGCAAGTTGAATAAATAAGAGTCTGTAGGAGATGGAAGAACTCAATCAGCATGTCGTGAGATATATAAGGCTTTAAAAACAAAGCCTAAAAAGAAATTAAGATAAAATCTCTTTAGTTCCACAAGGATGATATAAATGATGGATAAAACTGAGAACATATGTACAATATCATCAAACTCCATCCGTTTTAATGTTGCTCTTCATATGGAAAATACAATATGTATAATGCCAAAGATATATTTATTATGGGAAATATTAGATGAGATGTTATGTCCTAAATCCCCACCTGTGTATGTTCTTCTCAATTTGGAGGATTGTTAATTGGTTCTGAAATGTAAAATGTTTTACCATCTGATGCATTTCATTACATCTAAATGATTCCAACGATTATAAAACCTAATCATGTGCTTTGAAAATTTGCAAGAAAAATCTACTTTTAAAGACTTGATAGCTTACCAGGTGTACCAAACTGAACACAGTTTTCTAGTGTCCGTACAAATTCACTGTCCGTGAGCTTTATGACATGCAAGCTGTTGGCTTTTTCCATATTTTTCACCCATTTGTTTGCTTGACCTTGAGGGTCAATCATAAGTGGCCATCTTCTTGCATTTCTGGAGAGAGAAAACAGTGAAATACCTCAACATTTAGTTGGGATTTTGTTATGCATTTGATTTTTTATTTCCACTCAATCATGTCCAATTCTCAGAGACTGCCTGGACAAGTCCCTACAATTTTCTTGGCAAAATCTTTCAGAAATGGTTTGCCTTTGCCTCCTCCTTGGGGCTGAGAGATTGTGCCTGGCCCAACATCACTCAACTGGCTTTGTGCCCGGGGTGGGAGAAGAAATCATGGTCTGCTGGTTTCTACCAAGAAGTCTTAACCACTATATCAGTGTTTCTCAACCTTGGCGACTTTAAGTCCTGTGGACTGCAATTCCCAGAATCCCCCAGCCAGCATAGCTGGCTGGGGAATTCTGGGGATTGAAGTCCACAGGACTTAAAGTCGCCAAGGTTGAGAAACACTGCACTATATCAATCTGTCTCTCATACGTGAACACATTTACAAGATCCCTATATGGAGATGTGATTTGTGAGCCATACCCGTGCAGAACAGTATCAAGAATTTTCTCATGACTTCCTGTGAAGAAGTGCCTATTTCCTTCCAGTTTTATGCTTTCACTTTCTGGACCCTTGGAAAAGGAAACAACTAGCATCTCATAGTCCACAAAGGTGTGAGATATAATCCAAGGGGAAAATAGAACTCCCCTCTTTTTGTACCAATGACTAGCACGTGACCTTCATTCAGGCTTTTCCCCATGTTAGTTACCTCTATCAGCACGACAAAAGAAAATTCTGTTCTTATAGGCCTTCCAGCATTCATCAGTTGTGTCTCAACTTCAGGGCTGTGTTGACTTTACTCCCCAGATCGCTAAGCAAGCAGATCTGCAGTCAACGCAAGGGGAGTTCTGCATGCAAATGCTAATCCACACAGTCAACAGCCTTAATCATCCAGTTTATCTGAGCGATTTGAGGAAGTTAAAAGTATGTCGCTATAAGGCAGTGGTGGGATTCAAATTTTTGAGTACCAGTTCTGTGGGCATGGCTTGGGGGGCCTGGCAGAGGAAGGATACTGCAAAATCCCCATTTCTTCCCAATTAGCTGGGACTCGGGAGGCAGAAAATAGATGGGGGTGAGGCCAGCCAGAGGTGGTATTTGCCGGTTCTCCGAACTACTCAAAATTTCCGCTACCGGTTCTCCTGAACTGGTCAGAACCTGCTGAATACCACCTCTGGTTATAGGCCACTGTTCATATCTTTCCACAAATGCATAAAGATCAGGAAGGTTGAACTGGTGGTGATCTTAGCATGAAACAGGACTAAGTAGCCTCAGGACCCTCCCTCTGTCAAGTGAAAAATTGAACAACATTTGTTGTGAACGGATCTGGAAGTGGAAGAAGGTACTGGCATCTAGAACCCTATTCCAATCAGAAAAGGTTGCCTTACAAAAGGTACGCCAGCAAACTCATGTATGAATCTCTGCATATATTTAACATAAGAATAACACGTGCTTTAATCCAAAGACTGTAACTTCATAAAACAATAAAGGGGTTGCATTTAATCCAGGGAAAGTATGAACACAGAGATAGTACTTTTGCTCTTTTGGACCAGTATTACCGGATTCCCAGTGGCTTCCAATCAAGATTTTCTATAGCTCTACTATTTTGTTTTAGATTTTAGAGATTTTAGATCTGCTCAATCTAGCTTTCTTCTGGAATTCCAAGCCCGCATGTTCAAAAATCACACTGGCTTGTAATTTGATATTTCGTCAGCCAACAAACTGCAGGATGAAAATTTAGAGAACAACTTTTTAAATGTGAAGGATTATGTCCTGAGAACCTTTTGCATGCCAACCAAGCTCTTCACTACTGAACAGTGCATCTTATGTGTTTTTAAATGAAAAAAATATACAATAGTATCTTATTGCACCCCTACAAGTAGAAAATAGCATACAACACTATCCAAAGAAATAAATTATGCCTATCTGAAGCTTCTGTTACTTACGAGATAATAATACCGTTATCAATGGAAAATAAATCGGAAGGCAACCCAGCTATATTCCAAGCTCTGATTTTCACGGCTTCTCCTAAAGTTGTAGTCAGGGAAAAATCATCTGAGCAGGGAATGCCTCTGGCTTTGCATGTCAATATCCAGTCTCGGGCTTGATTCTGAAAAGGAAGAGTGCTAAATATTGGGCAGTTATTCTAACAAAAAATGAATGTTGGTGTAATGAGGCTCATTGGCAGGATCAATGACTTGTTACTCTTGACAATTTGCTGGGACAAATTTGAGTTCCTTTTAATTGCTTTTAATTCTACCAAAAAGCATTAACGTAATACTTACAAAATTATTCCCAAGAAGTATTTTGGTTATTTATTTAATAAAACTTAAAATGAACCATATTGATTTTTTTTTTGAAATATACTTTTTTTATTTTCCATTTTCATAACATATAATCACATGTATACTATTACATAGCCAATATCCTATTGTATTAAGTAGTAATTACATCAGTTCCTCTTGTCATCAACGCCCAGAAAGATAAAAACTCATTATTAGCTCTTCTGCTCTCCATACACCTCTTTCTTCTGCCTCTCTCCTACCTCCTTTCTTCCCTCCATCATCCTTTTCTACTCTACTTCCCCTTCCTTTCTCCTTCTCCTCTCTCTTCATTCCACTCCTCCTTATCCTCCTCATCTTCCCCCCCTTACCCTCTCTCCTATCCCTCTCTTCCTTTCTTTCTTCTCTCCTTTCCCACTCTTCCTCTCATTCACTTGGTGTATTTCAGCTTCTGAGCAAACTCCATTCTATGTTGATAGTATTTATGCTTCCATATCAATATACTTAGCATATCTTAGTTTTAAAGAAAAAATAAGAGAAGACAGTATACATGTGCAACCATATTACTTTAAAATCTAACACCCCTCGTCAAACCTAATATAGATCCCTCCCTCCCACCCTCCCCCCACCCCCACCCCCTCATATTGATTTTTTTTTCCTTTCACCATCCAATTAGCCCTGATTTTATCCATTTCTTCCACAATGCCTTTGAGGAGAAACATCATAATCACGCAGCGAACTCAGAAGTGTACATAGTGAAAGATAACAGATACAGTTTATCAACAAGAGCTGAAATCCAGAGAGATGTCCACCCCAGGTATTCTGAAGATTAGACATCATGTACTTAGGGAAAGCTACAGTCAGAAGAAGAAGGCCTTAATTAACAGTTTATGACACTAAAAGTTACAGTGCAAAATAATTGTTTCAGCTGTTAAACAGTTAACTGGGTACACTTCTAAGGTCAACCTAGAAACACATAATAGTGTCGGATAGTCAACTGGAATTTCTCAGCAGCTAGTTGTCAGGCCTGCAATTATATTCCTTTTAGAATTTTGGCCTGCCACACTTTCTCTTATTTCATTATGCTGTTTCTTTAGTATAGTTGATGGGAGGGGGGAATAGACAGGAGTAGGATTGTGGAATGTATTGTTTTCATTCTTTTCTAGAAGCCAAGGCCATCTTTTGTCTCCGCACTTTTACACCTGACCATAAGCAGCTTGGTGGAGATGCCAGCGTGGAAGAAGAAGATTGGACCATGTGATGGATTGTGGGTGTGGGGAAAAGATTATGAACTTTTAACTGGGTGGAATTCTGATGTAATTTCCAGAATTGGGATTAATACAGATGTGCTAAGATGTCTGCTTTATTAAATTGGAACTTTAAGGATCGTTAAGCCTTGGACTCTGATTTAATTCTACATGATACTTGGAATGCTGACACTAGTTTAAATGGGTCAGAGGTATATATCATTCATCCAGATGGGTGATATATATACAGGTTCCAATCCCAGTAAATAGCTTGAAATAGATCTATACTAGTCTCCCTTTATTTATCAGCACAAATACAACATACATACATACATACATACATACATACATACATACATACATACATACATACAAGATTTTTACAACCCCCGGTATGCCCAAATATGGGAGGAAGATCACTACTTCCATTCTCTGTCCTTCGGCTCGTCACAAGAGACCATCCAGGCAGAAACCCAATATTTTTACTGTTGCCTTTTTGTTATGTGTGTGTGTTTTTGTGTGTGTGTGTGTGTGTGTGTGTGTGTGTGTGTGTGTATGTATAAAATGAGTAAAACAGACTTATTGGAGGAGAGGTAAGGAGCATGCATCAGGAGCGGGGAGAGGGGGGCACTTAAATATGGACAGAACTGTTAATGAATAATGTGAAGGGATTTGTGTTCTGATGCAGTTGATGCTTTTGTTTTTCTGTCAATGTGATTAAATGTTTTTATTTATTTATTTTTAAAAGCAAGATGTTTGCACTGAAAAGCATTAGGATTCTTTTTACATTCTAAGCTGGAGACTGGTAGCTTTGAATATTTGTGCAAGAGCAAGAAGCCGTGTATTTTAAAAAAGCAGGCTTTTCACCTGTTTTACTTTTTGGAAAGATGGAAATGAGAACTGAAAAGGAAGGCAGAACGGCTAGAAGTCATCTGATTTTATCCTCCTTTCTCCTGGAATCCTCCCCACAGAGATGGAGCTTGGTTTTTCTGGAATATCCAGGCAGAGATGTTCCAACTACTTTCCCACAGAAACAAACGTATTTCATAATAGGTAGAAAGCAAATTTACTTTCAAGACAAGAGTGTTTTTACATTAACAAAGTTGGAAATAAGGAACTAAGGAAATTAAATTGGATGGTCTTAAATAGTCATGGAGGTGAAGAGGCCTTCAGAGAAAGTTAAGCATTTTAAAGTCAATCAACTGGAAGGATCGACTCATATGGCCTATATAATATGATCACAGAAACCTGCCATGCCATGGAATAAATTATCTACACTGTTTGAAATGTTGAATCTGGGAACTGATTACAATGTGAAATAACATTTTTAAAAACTTTGAAATTGCTTAGGCAGTAACTCCAATTAAATGTTTATCTTACTCAAAAGATTGATTTAAGTATAATTGCCTGTCACTTGTTAATAAAATCAAGTTAACTATGGGGAATTAAAATAACTTAAATCTGTTTTGTGGGGGATATAAAGTCAACTATTAAAATATTCTTTTTTCCTACCAGAAATATTGCTTGCATTTCATACTTACCCTCTACATATCCCCATTCATTTGTTAATAAATTAACAAAGGAAATAATATTGTTTATGGATGGAGGAATTTCAGAAGAATGAAAATGACTCTACAATGCTTCCCTCCAATATAAAAGCAAAACGTAGGATTTAAGTATCAAATATTTTTTATTATCATCCCTATAAATGTCTAAATTCTATTATACCTTCTTAATAGCTGAATTGGCTGCATTGGTATAATGAAAGAAAACATAATTGTGCAGCAATAGTTTGCAATTTGGGAGAGTCATAACCTTAATCTAACTTCTCTATGGGCCTGAGTTATGATCTATATTAGCTCTGATCCCGCTAAAGCATTACGATTAATTTCCACTGAAACTAGGAAAAAGATTTAAAAATCTCCCGTGGCTTCCAATGAGAGAGTCACAAATTGTTGTGGGCTGAGGTTAGAATCTGCTATATTTCAGAAATATGAAAATCAAAACTCTGTCTAAATTCCTTAAACCTTTTAGAACACTGAGAATACTTATAAATGTATTATAAGAGTACTTATAAATGTCTCTACGTGGTGTAACTGATCAACCTTAAGAAGTGATTTAAATGGAGAACACAATGTGAAACGAAGCCTATGGGTGCCAATTTGGAAACAGTTCTTATGAACAGCTCAAAAACGAGCTAAGAAATTGAGTTGAAACATATGGGAAACCCTGAGCATCCATGGTTTTCTCCAAGTATTTTGCCATACTCCTTAAGTTTAGTTACTGCAATACAAAACATTTTATTTGACAAAACATTTTACTTGCTTTCTTTTGAAATATTGCAGATTCTAAAGGGAAGAAGTTGTTGCTTATGGAACTGCATATTTTGAGTCAGGCTCTATATTGTCTGCACTAATTGGCAGTGGCTTTTTGGGGTTTTGGAAAAGGACTATATCCAAATCTGCATGGAAATGCCAGGAATTGTAGCTAAGTTCAATTACAGGCCACTCATGTACTCTTTCTCCTGCAGAATTGCATGGCAGTCCTAGTATGTGGAACATCTCAAAATTAATATAGGTCATTTCTCCTTAAAACAATATTTCCCATACATAGTTGAATTAGAACATATAACTGCCAATAATTAAAGATAGTGTGAGTTACAACCCAACAATAATTAAGGCTAAGTTAAGGAAAGGTCCCACCAATGGTCTATATTAGTTGGCAATTATGATGTACCAAAGTTAAAGATGGCTATCTTAAATTTAAAAAAAAATGTTTCTTTAAACAATGATACCTTCATAATTTTCTCATGTGTTGTTTTCCTATCAAAGCTTTTCTTTTCAAACTGAAGTAAAAGTATATGCTTGGATATTGAGTAAAAACTATTGCTTATTTGCTGCAGAAGCATTTAGCTTACTAAACGTCATACATTTATTCAATTGTTCATTCATTCCTTACTTGTCGGTAGTGCGATGTGAAGGCTCCCAGGTAAGCCACAATGCCAGATGAGATGAGGATATCGCCTGTCAAATTGACGTATTGTTTTCCCAGTTGCAAAGCTGCCTGGCTCCAACGGGTTTTCTCACCCCCAAGGCCACCAAGTAATTTTTCTGCTCGGTCTAGCTTTTTGCTACACAGGTCAACCTTAAAATCAAAATACAAACTTTAAACAAAGCCATCCCAGTTAATGATATTACAGATAGTTACATGCTTTACTTTCAATGCTTATGAAAATATTATATACAATATGCATTGCTTATTATTATTACCAACCCTCATCATCATCTAAAAGTTTTTTTTATATTTGAAACCTCAAGATAGAAAAACTGAAAGAAATGTGTGTGACAAATTGTCACAGATGAAATTCAGCAAGGTCAATAGTATTTCCATTCTTCTTGCCTTCAAATAAATTATTGCCTTCACTTTGCAGTGCGAAATTGATAATGGATTTATATGCGATACCAAAAACAGTTGCATCTCAAAAAGGAATACATATCATACAAGAGCATGGCATTGACTTATGAAGGTCATTCTTACACAGATGTGGCCCATGAATTGAATGCATAAGGAGCTTTCTGTCTGGCAATTTGTCAAAAATGTTTTCTCTAATAAATGTTTAATATTGAACTAGCTGCAGTACCAGCTACGTGTAATGGAGGCACTTTCTTCGACTCCTCAGCTCTTGAATAACCTTCCCTAACTTGGTACTTTCTGCATGCCTTGTGGTGAGATGGGACGCAAACCCATTTAATAATCAAGCAAACAAATAAATAAAATGTGTCAACTTCCTAATTCTAGCTGGTATCTAACAGGTGAAATTTTAGGGAAAGCATCTCTATATTCAGTTGGTTCCTCTTTTCCCAAAAAAGGTTAAACTATGCCCTATTGCCATCATGCTTCTCCATGCTTGCTTTTCCTCTAGGCTAGTAGTCCATCAACAATAGAGGAGTATGGACAGATCAGGCCAAGTGGGAATAATCTTTGGTACTCTGATGCAAATAAGAATAAAACCCAGCGGTGTATACACAGGTATACTGGAAGACATGGAGAGACCCCATTACTTCCTCATTTATTCCAGCAAGCCTGCTCAGTATTGGAAGGGAAGAACTTAGCTGAGCATACGCCATCACAAAACCAAAAATCCTGATCTCTCCAAATATCCTTCCACACAAAAACAATTCATTTAACTAAGGGAAATCCAGCTGATCCTTCGATTTGTCAAAAATACTACCCCCAAATCCAAAGAGAGTTTCTTATACAAAAATAAAATATCTTTACACATTCTGCTTTCTTTCAAGCTCAGGTCTTTGCAATCTGCCATCCAGGGTGTAACTGCACCAGGGTGTAAGGATTTAAGGGCCATTTAGCCACTAATTGGTTTTGTTTATATCCTTTTTATCTCTAGAAAGTTTAAGCAATGTACATGATAATCTCCCCAGGCTTTATCTGCAACTCTGTGTAATGACTTTGCCTGAGAGTAACTTACTCAGCATTAGTAAGTTCAGTAGTAGCTCAGTAAGTTCAGAATGGGAAACTGAATTAGAGTCTCCTCATTCCCCACTCCAAAACCATCATCTTCACCTCTACATTATTCATGTAACTGCCAGGTAGGTTCAACAAGTTTTGAGTATAAATTACTTTTGAGGTTATATTCGTGTAAATGTAGGCAAATGCTAACTATAGCAATAGCAATAGCAGTTAGACTTATATACCGCTTCATAGGGCTTTCAGCCCTCTCTAAGCGGTTTACAGAGTCAGCATATTGCCCC